GGTATCGCACCTGCTGGTGGGTGCAGCTCCCGCATGTTCCCTCGTTGGAGGCTTGAGCATGGATGTGGCTGCTACGGGGTTCCCTGTAATACTATAATTACAATAAAAAAGGCCTGAAAGGCCGTCCTGTCCAGATTTGACAGGTAATTGAAAGCAAAGAATATCCCTCCCCTTGAATCTTGAAAAAAGAAGGAATTTTTTTTTTTCTTTTTTAATGAGCTGATTAACACCTGATGCAGCAACATAGCAGACTGACCTCCAGTTTAGAGGCAAAACAAAAAGAAAGAACAGAGTTTTTCAGAAAGTTTCGTTCGGCAAAAAATAAAAAATTCAGAATTTGTTGTAACTTGCAGGAGTAAAAAAGCTCGCACTTTTCCCAGGTACTACTCCCAAATTTCGAATTTGCCCATGTTCTTTGCAATTTGAAAAAAGGAAATCGAAAAAAAAGGAAAATTTGCAGGATAAACACTTTCACAGTGACAAAGAAAACATAAAAAACAAACCTTTGCTTAAGTTGCAGATGACTGCAGGTATGTAGGGCTCCGACGCGTAGTTAGGTTGGTCATGCAGGATAAACTCTTAACCAGGATACTAATTAGGGCTAAAGTTGTGTTTAGTCTTTTTTTTTTTTTTTTTAGTTATTCCTCTTTGCTCTCTCGTGTTTAGCCTTAACTAGTCCTAATTACAAATGTTAACAAGGGTGCTGCTAACCTAATTTAGCTTGCGTTAATCAATCTAATTTAGCATGCATTAATCAACCTCATTAGCGTTACGTAATTAGCCCCCTAGCCCTAATTAGCACTGGATACCAATCCGCACGGCCTAACCTTGATTAAAGCTTAGCTAGCGCCTAATCTAGATTACCACTGAACTCAATTAGCATTGCTAACCCTAAGTAGCACTAATTAATAACCAGCGAGATGTCACATGCATATATGGCAAATCAGAGCCAAGAACCGACCCAAAGAGAAGAGCAATGATAGCGCAGCAGAAGAGTGATATACCAAGATCTGACTCAAAAATGACTCAGACTGACTGCAATACGCTCATCATCGTCAGTCAGGGTGAGAAGTCATGGCGCTGAGCACAAAGACGAAGAGCGCCAGGCCAGAACATCATCCACAGGCGAGGAGGGGGGGGCAGAGACAGAGGAGGAGGAAATATGGAGATGTTGTCAACTCAAATGTCGCTCGTGAAGTCTCCAACCATAATCCCCCAATGCCTCTGTCCAAATGTCGGTCTGAATCCAATGTCACCATGTCTCAACTCTCAAATCACTCTCTCATGGAAGAAGAAGAAGAATCAGAGGGAGGGAGGAGGGAGAGAAGTGATAAAGCTGGAGGGAGACGAAGAAGAAGGATCCTCTCGTAGTCTCATGAACGTGGAGCCAGGGTACTGACCGGCATAAAGGTGTCTCCTTGGAGATGTGATTCAGGTGGAAGACGCCCGAAGACAAACAGGAGCTATGGCGCCAGGTAAGTCTGCAGGTGAGTCCCTCATAACCTGGCCTCCGCCTTCAACCTCCAACTCAACTACCCTGCCTAACTCCTCTAACTGAAGCAGCGCTGCCCAGCAACACGTAGACCTCAACCTGTAACTCCGCGTACCTAGAATGAGGCTGGCCCAGCTATACATAACGTTGGGCTCACTAACTCCGCGTACCTAGAATGAAGCTGTCCCAGCTATACATAACGTTGGGCTAGCTACCGTCTTTACCCGAATAGAACGCCCGGTAATTATCGCTGTATCTGGAATGGAAGATGCCCCAAATACGGCTATAGTGACCGGGGGTTGTATTCGGGTGAAGACGGTAGTGCCAGGCCCAAGGGAGGCAAGTCTGGCACCCAAACTGAATCCTAACCTGGCGCCCAGACCTCACTACAGTCCGAAACAGAAGGCAAAGGTCTGGTGCCAAAACTAAGGCTGGAACTGGTGCCCTAACTAAGACTGCAACTATCTGGCCTAGGAAACGGCCACTGGACCTGCATTGGTCCCAATCTGCTCACAGATATAGTTGGACTACTAGGAAAACCCGTGGACCGGACCGAACAAGGGACTGAGGCCGACCCAAAGAACAACGCTGAGTCCCAAAGGGAACAAGGAACCCCCTAATCCACAAGTCAACCCCCTAACCTACTACCGGGCCCAAGGGGCCCATGTGGTATATACCACATGGCATCAACACACTGCACAAGAGACACTTTTTTGAGTCCATGGGGGACAGATCCCAGCAATTGTCGGTGTCTCAGGCATTGAGTACTGAGACTACATTTGTCCACTTCCTTGTCCACTTCCATGTTTACAACTTGGTCAGAATGATAGCTACAGCCCGCGGTTAGAACGATGGCTACAGCCCCCCGTCAGAATGATGGCTAGAGCCCACACACCTGATAGGGTATGTGTTCATCTGGAGAGCAGATGTCCATCCAGAAAGGGTATTACAGTCTCAGCATGCAGTTCTCTCGAAGGGGCGAACACTCGTTTGGTCACATTCACGAGTTCACGTGCAATAACTTAACGTAAAATATGCAACAGTCTTGAGCCACACGTCGACACTTGGGTCTAAGGATCGTAACAGCGGCCAAAGGCCACACCCAAGTCATAGGAAATTGCCTGATACAAGGCCTGCTGCTTAGGGTACCGAAGCACGGACTAAATGGGGGTCTCAGGGGCCCTGCGTGCGACAGTTGACCGTGGAAAGTCAAAGGTCAACAGCAGCTCGGAAATTCAGGCCCACCAGTCGAAGTCCACATGGTCCCAGCCCAGGTCACAGACCAGACACACACGCTTAGTTGTTTGCAGGTGTCTGCCAAGGATTCAGTCCAACTGGGAATCTGCAACTGTATGTAACCCAGGCCGTCGACTGCAGGTCAATCTGGGCTGCCGTATCCACGAGACCAGAGGCTGGTCAAGCCGAGTTAACATTATACATTGACCCAGCCCCTGCTGACCGACTCCAGTCTTGCACTTGCTGCTCTACGCTGGCACTACACTGGCTCATCATTGGCTCTGCGCTGGCTTGACATTTGATGACGACGCGAGGCTGCTCTGCATTACTTGATGCTGGCGCCAGCTCTATCGCTGGAACCAGCTGGATCAGAGAGTATGCTGACGTGAAGCTGGCCACACTGTCTGATACGGAGACTATGCTGACGTGGCATTGGCCATACTGCCTGCAGCATTGATTGGGGATTGGCGAGGAGGAGGAGGATCAGGGTTGTGGGATTGGTTGAACGAAGGGAATCTTACCTGTTTGATGACGTGTCGACATTGCACACTGATGATCGTCTTCACGAGGTATCTCCGCTGATAAGCGCTACGATGAGATCTGCTCTTTGTCAGATTGAATCAGTGGAGACTGTTAGCTGATGTGGCGAGGGGAGATGCCCGAAGTCGAAGAGGGGAAATGAGGGAGTTATGTCTGCTATGCTGATGGTTACTTTCTCTTCCACCC